ACTCTGAATTTTTAGAACAATTTAAGGTAAGGAGTTTTAAAGCAAATATTATTTAAGTATAGCAAACAATGTGCTGCTTAAAATTCCCTTTGATTTTTTTTATTTTTTTTTATTGATAAAAAATGGCGTTGCTTTAATTTTTTTTTTGTGAACAATCATAGTGCATAATAACATACATACCTGTAGATTTTTTTTATATTTAAATATTCATTTAAAATATTTAGGCAATCTAAAGCTCCTCGGGATTCCAGAAAAATTAGTTTTGAATGGAGCGCGATATGTTCGCCTTATATCGATATACATTTATACGTATGTAATTATATAAAAAGTATGCAAAGAAATTTATAATATATTTAAAGATAACTACGAAAAATAAATCGGGAACGGAAAGTTCATCAAAAATCTACCAAAATGAGAAAAAATTTACCTTTTTACCAACCCAAATTTTTTCTACCAATTTTGGTAACAATTTACCAAAGTGGCAACCCTGACTACAACATTTATTGCATATTTGAAATCCAAACTTGAAGGTAAAGCTCGCGAGTCCCTACCAACGCAAATAAGCTCAGTTAGTCAAATTAAAGAAGCGCTGTCAAACAAAATAAAACCAGATAACTCGAAAGTTGTCGCTGGTAAAAATGCAGCTTTGAAAGTGCATAACAACAATTATTCAGATTTGGCGAAACAGGTAGAGGAGCTCGCAGATTCCCTGGAGCCTTCGCTTATTATTGAAGGAATGACACAATCGAAAGCTCACGAGATGGCAGTTGAGCAAACAATAAATGTTTGTAGGCTCAACAGCCGTTCAGATATGGTAAAGTCAATACTAGCATCGTCAACCTTCAGCGACTCGAAAGATGTTGTAGCAAAGATGATTGTGGAGCAAAATAATTTTCGAGGAGGTTATAGAGGCAGCAATAACTACAGATATTACAATAACAACTTTAGGTTTAACGGCAATTCAAATAGACACAGCGGCAATACTAGCTATCGAAACAAAAATCAGAATAGGAATAATAGTTTCAGTAATAGACGAAATAACTACAATAATAGTAACAACAGTCAGGCTTCAAGCAGTAGAAATAACAATCAAACGCGTTCAAATATACGAAATTCTGCCAATGTTCGGTCTATAAACGCCGAAGCCCCTCAGGCGCGAACACTGGGGGAGCTAGACTTAAACAACTAACGACTTTTACAGACGAAAAATCCATTTACTGCCTAAATCTCAACTATTCCGATTTCATTGAAATAAATTGTAGTGATTCTCACAAACAATGCACTTTTTTAGTAGACTCTCAAGCAGACATTTCGCTTATAAAATTTTCAAGCCTAACAAACAAATCCGCAATAAACAGCAATAACATTATTAATATCACGGGCGTAACATCTGAAACGGTCCAAACCTTGGGCACAATAAATACAAATTTGGTAGTATCAGACATTTTCATTCCGCACACTCTTCACGTTGTAAATGACAGCTTTAACATTCCTTCGGACGGCATACTCGGAAAAGACTTTTTAAAAATAAACAAATGCATAATTAACTATGCAAACGATAGCATAACCATTGGTTTGGGGACAGAAAGGATCAGCGTTTCTATTTTGCACGGTACTACTACCGACAGCTTAGTAATTCCACCTAGATGCGAAGTTTTTCGGTTATTTAAGTTGGGTAAAATGTATCGTTGACACGAAAAACCCGATACTAAAACTAGTAAACACTACGGATGAAGTAAAATACGTAAGAGATTTCAATATTCAAACCAAAGACATAACAAACTTCAACGTTTATAAAATTAACGAACCCACATCTGATCCGAAACGCATCGTTGAACTAAAATCGATTTTAGAAAAACAAGTACCCAATTATGCTAAAAATAAATTGCTTGATCTTTGCTCAAAATATTCCGACGTATTTGCCTTAAAATCCGACCTTATGACTCTGAACAACTTTTACGAACAAAAATTGAGACTGACAGACAAAACACCAGTTTACATAAAAAACTACAGATTGCCATATTCACAGCGCGAAGAAATAAACAAACAAGTCGATAATTTATTGAAAAACAATTTAATAGAGGAAAGCTACTCCAATTATAACAGTCCTCTAATTTTAGTACCGAAGAAAGATCCAACAGGTCAAAAATCGTACCGTATGTGTGTAGACTTTCGAGCAGTAAATAAAAAACTAATTGCAAACAAATTTCCGCTAGCACGTATAGACGACATTTTAGATAACCTTGGAAGAGCAAAATATTTTTCAACTCTGGATCTGTATTCTGGTTTTCACCAAATCCCGTTACATAAAAATTCTAGAGATATAACATCTTTTAGCATTGATCGGGGAGCTTTCCGTTGGAAGGTCTTGCCTTTTGTTCTTAATGCAGCACCTAACTCGTTTTCAAGAATGATGTCTATAGCATTTTCCGGTATTTCACCTAATCAAGCTTTTATGTATGTCGACATGGAATAGTTATTGGATGCAGTGAAGCGCACCAACTTGCGACTTAACCCAAATAAATGTAATTTTCTACGATCTGAGGTAACTTTCTTAGGACACAAGTGCTCATCTAGAGGTCTACTGCCAGATAATACAAAAATAGAAGCCATTAAAAAGTACACAAAGCCATGCGATAAAGACGCAGTGCGTAGATTCGTAGCGTTTGCAAACTATTATAGACGGTTTATACCTGACTTTGCTTCTCTGGCAGCACCTTAAATCGTTTGAGCAGGAAAAATGTAGAATTTAAATGGGAGCAAGCTTTTGAAAAACTTAAATCTTCTTTAATGTCTCCTAAACTTTTACAGTATCCTGACTTTAGCAAAGAATTCATAATTACAGTCGACGCATCTAAACCCGGTTGCGGTGCAATTTTAAGCCAAAAGCACAACGGCAATGACTTACCAATTTGTTTTGCTTCTAAGGCTTTCAATAAAGCAGAACAAAAAAAGGAAATTATCGAACTCGAACTTCTAGCAATATATTTCGCAATCAAGCAATTTCGGCCATACGTTTATGGCACACACTTTACTGTAAAATCTGATCACCGACCATTAGTTTACCTTTTTAATATGAAAGACCCTTCGTCAAAACTCTCGCGAATAAGACTGGAACTTTCAGAATACAATTTTACAATACAATATATAAAAGGCAAAACAAACGTTGGTGCGGATGCCCTATCACGAATCACTATTGACGAACTTAAAGACACAACAAAACATATTTTAGCAGTAAAAACTAGATCGATGACAAAACATAACGTAGAAATGCAACCACAGTACGAAGAAAATCACACAAATAACTCCACAGTACAAGTTTACGACAAATTTTCTTACAATTTTTCAAAAAACATTCCACGGATAAAAACAAAAATTACTTACGATAAAAGTGATGAAATTTCAAGTATTAATATATATGCGCATTTAAAACATAGAAAACTCGAGTTAATCAATTTTGAGGTTGTTAAAAAAATAGCAAATTTAGATGAGCTACTTTTGAGGCTTAACATGAAGCCAGCAATCATAACATTAAAGAAATTGAATGGCAAAAAAATGATTCATTCTTTGAACAATTTTCGATTACAGAATTAAAAATTAGTAGAAACAAAGTTTTAAAATCGTTAGAAATTATACTAACAGACCCTGTGGAAACAATAACTGAAGACGACAAGAAACTTAAACTCATGACAATTTACCATAACGACCCGATATTAGGCGGACATTGCGGAAACAAAAAACTATGCAAAATTACGTAAAAATACTATTGGAAAAATATAACACGCGATATTGCTAAATTCGTAAATAGCTGTGAGAAATGTTTATTAAATAAAGTAAAACCCAAAACTAAAGAAAATTTAGTACTAACCCCAACGCCTTGCAAGCCCTTTGACGTTGTAGTTATAGACACAATAGGACCCTTGCCTGAGTCCATTAATGGTAATAGGTTCGCAGTAACCATTATATGCGACTTAAGCAAATATTTAGTAACAATAGCCACACCGGATAAAAGCGCAAAAACAATAGCCTCTGCAATTTTTGAAAGCTTTATTTTAACATACGGCATTATGAACACTATAAAATCTGATTTGGGCACTGAATTTAAAAATGAACTTTTTTCCGAATTAACCAAACTTAAAAATCCAGCACAATTTCTCGACAGCACATCACCATGAAACCGTTGGTACAGTTGAACGAAACCACCGTGTCTTTAAAGAATATTTACGCGCGTATTTAAATGAAACTTGGTCCGATTGGGACGTTTATTTGAAATACTTCACATTTTTGCATAACACAACAACAAGTTCTGTATTTGATAACAAACTTTCACCATTTGAATTAGTATTCGGTAGAAAAGCAATTTTACCAACCGAATTACAAAATGTAAAAATTGATCCGATATATAACATCGATAATTATTCGAAAGAAATCAAATACAGAATGCAAAAATCACACGCGCTTGCAAAAGAACTTATCAGTAGTTGAGGCATGAGTGACATCCTCGGCCATGTCGTACCCAATAAAATGCTACTAAGAAAGTCCGAGAAGTTTAATATCAAAGTTACGGT